AAGGGTTGCAGGATGAGGAAATTGGAGTCCCCCTTCAGTGGGTCTATCTAAAAGACTCCCAAATTATATAACTCTTGTCTCTAAGGGGAGAAGAAATCCTTGAATCATGAATAGGAGATGTGAAGAAGTAAAGGCAAGAGTAATTGGCATTACAAGTTCTAGACAGGGAACTAGAAAAAAGTCAGAACAGGGCAATTTTCAAATGTTCATGAGAGTCCATTGGAATTTCTTGACAAGGGCTTCCAAAAGCATCCCTCCACTGGGTTCTTCCTCAAATGCATTTGTTTTTCTTTTATGTGTATAAGTGATGGTGATTAACACAGAAAGCCACAACTGGCCAAAATGTAGGCAAAAGAGAGACTACAAAGTGTGTGTCCCTGGATAGGTCTCCTATATTAAACCTCTACCACCCAGGGCTCAGGGACCACAGCAGAAGAGGGGGTGAAAAGGCTGTAAGAGTCAAGGGTGGTGGATGACCACAAGGAAACAGTTTTCCAGGTGACTGGAAACTTGCTCATATGAACTTATAGCAATGGTGACAGAATGCACAAGATCCATGCAGACTCAACTCAGACAAAAACCCAGCATCAAAGTGGGGAAATGGATAAGAAGTCCAACCTTAGCTGAGGAGCTATTGGCAACTGATCACTGATGGGTGAGGGAGATTTGGTCTTCTTTAAGGGAGTGATGCTAATTCATGAGGCTCCAGAGGACGAACTCATATCAAGGAACATTTGTGTATACAAACCTGACTTGATGGTCCTTAACATATATAACAGAGTGAATGAAATATGGTGGGGGTGTGGGAGAGTGCAGATAGAAGAGGGGGGTCTAAATATCAGTACGTATATTATGAAATGCACAAAAATTCAATAAAAATTGTTAAGTAATTCCACATTTTAAAAATGTATTTATTTTTATTTTATGTGTATGAATGTTTTGCCTGCATGTATGTAAAGGCACCACAAGTATGCAATACTCTTGGAGGCCAGAAAAGGGGATTGGATCCCCTGGAATTAGAGTTACCAACAGTTGTTAGCCACAATGTGGATGCTTGGAACAATCCCAGGTCCGCTAGAAGACCAGTCAGTGCTCTTAACTGCTGAGCCATCTTTTCAGCCCTGAGAGACAGTCTTTTGAAACCATAAATCATGCCTCAATCTGCTAAATCGGGATCTCAGAGGGAGCTCTAGGAAGATTCATGGGCTTTATTTTTTCTGTTTGCTTGCTTGCTTTGTTTTTAAAAAACTTCCCTTTAATCTTTGTTTGTTGTTGTTATTTGAGACAGGGTCTCCATGTAGCCCCAGCTGACCTGGAACTCGCTATGTAGGCCAGACTGGACTCCATCTCACAGAGCTCCTCCTGCCTCTGCCTCCTGAGTGCTGGGACTAAAGCTGTGTGCCACCATGCCAAGTTACCTCCCTTCAATTTTAATGATCAACTAGTTTGAGGTTAGTCTTTAAAGGAAAAGGCACGTTTCTCAAAGGCTAGCCTATAAATCACTTGCATAGATCTAAGACACTGAAAACAACAGGAAGTATGGCCAAGAATTTGTCAACCATTCTCTCAATGATTCTATAAACACCAGTTTAAGTCACAAATAGTCTATATACACTTACTAATTAAACCTTTATGTGGACAAAAGCTCAGGATTTGCAAATATAAAAAGATGGGAAATAATGACAGATGTATAGACTTATTTCCTTTTTATATTACACTGTTTCATTTAATCCATATCAAAAAACCTGTGATAGAAACATGGCTGCCTGCATTATTACATTGTCAAAATAAAGCATAAGAGATTTCAGGTAATTTGCCCAAGATTAGAAGACTAATAAATGGATGGATTAGAACCAAATACTAAAGTCAAATTGCTAGGAAACAGTCTGTATAACTACACACTGTGTCATTAAAAGTTAAGTATACCTTTTAAACAATTTGCAAGATCTTATCTGATGAGACAACTTTGAAATGTGTCTAATTCCTGTTGGCTGGTTTTATTAGCTACTTCACAAATGTTAAGTTAATGATGGCAATGGTTGATTAACCACGATAAAGTGAATATCAACTACTAAGCAACAATATTTCAGGGATTTCTCTGAAATTAATTAATTAATTAATCAATCAGTGAGTATTTCAAGTCAACAAACCTTCAAATACAAATATTTATAGGTGAGAAGTCAAGATGCTCTGTCTAGGTCACCTAGCTAGTAAGGTCCCCATCTAACTGTGTACCAAAGCTAGTGGCCTGACTTTCTGATGGGCCCTGAAACTGTGTTCTTAA